ACTGCGGGTGTTCACTAATGCTAGGGAGGTGATCCTAAAACAAAGCCAGCAATGCTGGATATGGATGATCAGTCATATGAACTATATATCACAAGCACTTGTTTTTCTAAACTCTCCTCACCCAAATCTGTGGTTTAAAGGGTCAGTCCACCCAAAAATTATATTTCCTTTTCTGGAAAATGATGGAGATTTAAGCCACCTAATAGTTTCTTATATCTCTCAGGGTCTTTATTGGTGAGATCTCTGCTTATCTGGTAAGACCATTATGACGGGTTCTGATTCTTGCTCTTGGATTTTTTATTTTATATTATGGAAAATGCAACTAAAGGAGCTGGAAGATGAAAAGTGACTCCCTGATGGGCAGGGAACAAAGTTTATTACTTCATGATGCTTGAGTAATGGACACTTTGACTTCTACTTTTTTCTTACCTCCACAAAATGAGGGGCCACCACACTCCAACAGCGCATGATATGAAGCAGCGGGCGAGATTTACTCCGAATAATGCGTAGCATGACATCACCAAGGCGGAATAGATGTAAAGCACTTCTTTTGTCCTGGATAGATTTGATTTCCCCTACAGCATAATAAGAAATATATTTTTAAAGAAGGAATCCCTTAAAGCTGAACTTTGGGAATATTTTTTTATTTTAGATACTGCACTAGCTAGGTAAGATAGTCCTGTGTGTACTGTGTGTGGATGGCTGCTGCTTACTATAAAAAGCATACCTTGTTACAAGCCAGATCCTACACAGTGTTGGATTTACAGGTGCTACAGAGATGAGCGCAGTGACTAGAGCAGGGAAGGGCTCCACTCACATCCCTTCCTCTCTCCTTGCCCATTTGCAAAAAGCTTTGTATTCTTTTTATGTGAATGTAGGAGAAGAAATAATTTCACATAGCAGCCCCACCTCTCCCCGATCCTCCTCCACCCACAGAATGCCTTGTATTCTGTGAAAAGAATACAAAGCTTTTTGTGAATGAGTGAGGGGAGAGGAGTTGGTAGGGATGCAACTAAAGGCCTTTAATGCTGTAGTCGCTGCGCTCATCCCCGCAGCACCTGGAAATCTGGCACTCTGTGTAGGATCTAGCTTGAAGCAAGGTATCGTAAATGTTCCCAGAGTTCATCTTTAATTCTGCCTGTAATGGGGGTCCTAGAAAATATTACATTTTTAGCAGAAAACTAGTTTTGCTATATAGAAGGTCTACCTGGCATTGCAAGAGAATAATCCACGGTTTCTGTCACAGAATGAAATAACTGTGCCTGGGAAGCCTTCTTCAGATGATAAAGAAACCCACTGAGAGCCACCAAATTGAGCTTGTCAGCAGCTCCCTCAAACAGCCTGCAAAGAGAAAAACATGAGTCAAGGCCTCAAGAGCTAACATTCATTCAAAGATTTTCTCATTTGTGTGCCAGAAGTTATAAATATTAAATGCTTAGAAAATTAGAGCTGAAACCTCTAAGAAATGTACATTTCAAAACAAACAACAGCTGCTTACTTGTCCACTTGGGTAGAAAGGGTACAAACAGCTTTAGCAGCAATGCTTGCACTCATCAAGCTATTTCCTCGAAAGTCGAATGCTCGGCCCTTAGTGCCTTCTTTGATAAGATCTTGGATTGGAACTGGCTGGATGACTGGACTCTTGACAAAAGAGGCCTCCTGTTCTGTGGTATATTCTTGAGACAGGTCTGTGGAAAGACCATGTGCATCTGTAGAGACTTGCTGGGACTGGGTGATGTTCAGAGGAAGCTGGGAGGCCCCATCACTAAAATGTGTATGCTCCAAGGTGCTTATATATTCACAAACCCTACGGAAGAGGAAGGAGAAAAAGTTATTTTTAAGAATGTAATGTTAACGTGAAGAGCTTCCAGTTATGTTAAAAATATATGAAAGAAATTGAATGAATAGGACAGAACATTTTCAGAAATGTTTCAGCTCTGCCTGCACACAGATCCTGTGATAGAGCCCAAGTGTTCTGCACCTGCTATGTTCCCGCAACAGTATCTGGGATGATCTAATGATAAGTAATGTATACCTGTTTTTTGATCACTTCAGGTTAAAGAGCATATGAAAGATATGTAAATGCGTAAAGTTTTATGTAATGGTATCAGTCACTGAAATGAAAAATTGTCATCTATTTGGGTTTTCATAAGTCAATGTACCCTGTTTAATAGGCAATTCAATATGGCAATGGGGGTGCACAAAAGTGCAGTCTGCTTAAATTGACCAGGCAGGTTTCGCCAGATCACCTACTGTCCTAAAAAGATTCCTGGGGAATGCAGAAAAGGCGAAATCTAGCAAATAAAAACAAAAAACACTTCTGTCCATTGCAAAAGCCTCATCTCGCAAGATTTTAGCTACTCTGTATTCCCAAGGATTTAGCTGGAAAGACTCTCCTAAGCACCATGGGTGGAAGATGGGGGTAGGGTAGTTATAAACCCAATAGGTACATTTTAAACTTACCAATAGTGGGTGATTTGTAAAACGGGAAGGGGGCTGGACAGTGTAAGCGGACCTTACATTTTAAATGCAAGGTCAGCTTCATATCAGTTAAGAGATGATTTCAAAATAGCTGCGGTATGCCACTGCACGTCATCAGCAATGGTGTTTTCCTTGCTTTATTGAAAGGCTGCTGATGATTACTAGCTAAGCAGAACCAAAAATGCAGAAGATTACAGCATATGGTATAGATTGCGGTTAAGGGGCTCAGGAGGTTAGAGGAGAGGCAGTTTAATCATAGACTGAGCAAGGGGTTGTTTACTGTGAGAGTAGTAAAAATGTGGAATTCCCTTCCACAGTCAACGGTAGCCGCTGATAGCATTGCTAAATTCAAGAAACTATTGGATGAGTTTCTTAGTTCACTAAATATACAAGGATATGGGAACTACTAGAGCCGAACATACACAAACACACACACACAGGTTGAACTCGATGGACCTGCATCTTTATTTAAACCTTAACTACTATGTTACTATATCAAAATATACTTGCAAATGGCAATATATGAAAATGAACAGAATAGAGTGGAAATCCCCTTCAGGCTGCTTCACCTGTTATACATACAAACTGAGCCATGCAAGGTGCAGGATAACTGTCATTCTGTACCTGAACACATGTGGCCAGCAGTCTTGGTTGTGACTTCCCATCTCTAAGCCAACATTGAGTATGGCATCCATGCAGAGCACATGTGCATTATGCAGGCGATATCCTCCATGTTTACTTATCTGTTCCAGTTTTTGTTCCACCCTGTGCTTCACTGTATAAACAAATGTATCATAAACATTAATAGATCACATGCTGGTGTTTTGGACAGGAAAATGAATTATGACTTTTGATGTGCAATGTGCCACAATATAAAAGGTTCACTGCTTTAAGTGCTTTTATCACTATGCATCTAGAGATATCACCAGTAACAATAAGGGTAGGTTGTTTTATACAATTCTTTTACAGCTTTATATTGCTGTATAATGTCAAATCAGTCATGAACAGTGTACTTCTCTATAACTGCACAACATAATACCTTGTGTAATTGTGTCACTGTGTTCGGAATTTTCCTTATCTTCTTTTTCTTCTTGTACGCAGGATGCTGCTGCCATCTGAGCCAGCGCTGATGCACAGTTAGCGGCAACCCCTTTTAAAAAAAAAAGCGCATAAGGTTATAAAGTATAATATGGAATGGTGCTATACCTTTGTAAGTGTCTGACTACAGCAGACTATAGGGATGTTGACCAAGAATATATATCCACTAAGACTGCACATTCATGAAGAGGCAGGGGAGAAACTGGTATGATTCGTTCACTAATATCTTGCAGAATATAAGAGCAAATTAAGATAAATATGAATGACCACTGCTCTCTACTAAAAGGTTAGAAGCCACTAGTAAAGCACCCCAATGACTTGCATTGGTAGCCACTGGTGCAGACAAGATATAACCATCCTGAAGGTAAGTTTCCTGTGATATATTTCATAATATTAGATAGTTGGCACTGTCAGTCACATTAATATATGTGAATGGAAAGGGGCAGAGAGCGGAGAGAAAGAGACCTGCACTTATCAAAGATAAGGGGTGCAATAACAATTTGGACAGCTATTCTAACCTATTGGTAGTTCTGTTTAAAGTAAACCTTTACTAAGAAAAAAAGAAAACATTTCCATTACATTTTTGTGAATATCCTGCAAGTTGTTTTAAATTAATTTAAAAAAATGGTCATAGCCAGACTGTACCTGAAGGCAGGAAAGACGTACATGTAAACACTTCTGGCACCATCATTTGGAGGAATAAATAGAAAGTAGACAAGGTTTCTATCTCACAGCCATCTGTGTCTGTGGGTGATGATAGGCCAGCCAAAACTAGTCTTAGAGGGCCCTCAACATCTAATGCTTAAGGCCATTTGAAGCTTAAAGTATAATTAAAGTCTTACGTTTTTTTGGCATATATCTACTGCTAGCAAGCAGCAGATATATGCCCCATGATTAAAAAATAAAAATAAAAAAATGAGGCAAATACCTAATTACTTACCTCTTCCAGCGCCACTCGCTCCCGGCTGAAGCTCCCAAATGGCCGAGAGGAAGAAGTGTGTGGGCGCATGCGCAGTAGAGCGAGGGGAGAGTAGAGAACATTAAACTCAATGGACGCAGCCGTGAGCGCGCATGCCGAACAGACGCCGTGGCTCACAAGTATCGGAGAACAGCACCAGCGCTGGAGGGACTGTCAGAAATGAGTGGAAGGAACATGATCGGATCAAGAGGCATGAAAGCATCAGATATTATTAAATGTGTTCCCCAGGTCAAACTTGGTTTTAAACTACAAGATCGAACAGACATTTACCAGCTTTTTAAAATAATAGAAAAATAGCCTATCCTCTATCGTAAGACACATCTTTGTTTCAAAAATTAACTGATGCATATTTAGAACTGTAGAATGAGAAGTCCACTCACAAGTCTGGTACTCTGTGCTATTTCATACATTAATAGATATTGAAGGCAATGGATGATGTAATTAGACAGAAAATACCTCTTTTGAAATATGCAGTTAAGCATCTTGAGGATCTAATTTAAAAAAAAGGACTGATTGCACACAACATGACAATAAGCCAAAAATGTAAACTACATACCCAAGGCACAGCTGAGACGGGCAGCTTTCCTAAGACCATCTAGGCTCATGCAGATGGCATCTCTCTCTTTCTGATTTTGCTCCTTTATACCTTCAGCACCCAGCATAAAAGACAAACCCTTAGAGCTTCCTGCCATGCGTCCAGTAAGAGGAGCAGATAAGGTGTCTATCAGGTTCTTCCAGCATCCAATAAGGATGAATCGTGCAAAAGCCACACCTGGGGTAAAGGAAAAATTAAGTTCATATATGACACTAGCATCAAAAAGGTATGTACACATACTGTATATTTAGGTAACCCGACCAAAGGTGGCAGATCAAAATGTATAAGTGTTCCACTGTAGAGGGAGAAAGGGGAGGGCGGTATGTGCGTGTGTTGGTATGAATAATTTGGGCCATTAGTTATGTTGTTTTGTACTGTATGTATGTCTACTACATATATCTTGTGAAAGATAAAAAATAAAATGCCTATAAAAATAAAAATCATACCAAACTCAATTTTCCAAAAGTGACAGAATTCAAGAGCCAGTCAGTGTTTTCCAAAGACAGTTAGTGTTTTTTTGGTTTTATTTTTAAAAAGGGAACATGCAATTTCATTAAAAACAAGAGAAAAAATACTAAAGTAAGGACCCAGTTATAATTTCTGGCATATAAGCTACCAATTTCCTGGTATTTTTTCTGCCATACAGTAAGGGGAGAAAAAAACTTAGAAACAAATGAAGAACAATTTGAATGATCATGTTAGTACACACAGAGAACTTTCAAACCTAGACACATACAACTGTAAAGCAGGAGTTAAGTCAACATACCTGCTAAACTTGATGGATCCATATTCTTCTCAGGAGGCAGTGGAGATTGTGTTGATGTAGATGCTTGGAGCTGTCCACCAATAGCACTGCTTCCCAACCCATCAATATCTACAATTACCAAATGAAGACATTCTAAGGGCTATACATGGAACAACAAAGCAAGGTGCCTGATATTACATAAACATTTCCTTCATAAAGTTAGATGGAAACCATAGAGCATTTTTATAAGTGCATATATTTAAGCTATTGTAATTTTTAACCTGCAATTTCTATATTTTAATTATCGTATACAGTAATACCTCGGTTCACGAACGCTTCTGTTCGCGAACAACTCGGTTCGCGACCAGGAAGCTCAGCAAAATTTTGCTTCAGTTCATGAACTCCAAATCGGGTGATGAAGACGACCGCGGCCATCTTCCCCGCTCTGAAACGTGGTTGTGGCTTCCTCTAGTCGAGATTGCGTTTGCACTCAGACCGGTGCACATTTGCTGTGAAGCTTTTTCTTGTGCTTTATAGCACATACAGTGCTGTACAGTATTATTCAATCCAACATGGCTTCAAAGAAAGTGCAAAGGTTAGTGTTCACTCGCTTCATACTGTACTGTACTGTGTTTCTTATTTTTGTGGTTAAAAAAAAAATGACATATGGTTCAGAACGGATTAACCTTATTTTCATTGAACCTTTTGGGAAAATGTGATTCTGTTCGCGACCAAAATCAGTTCGCGACCAAAATCAGTTCGCGACCGCGTTTGTAGGGGTCAGAACGGATTGAACTTACTTACATTGAACCTTTTGGGAAAATTTGATTCTGTTTACGACCAATTCGGTTTGCGACCAGAATCGTGGAACGAATTAAGTTTGTGAAACGAGGTACCACTGTATATGCTTTGCTAGTTGCTACATGTATTTTACTTTAAATGTGTGTCTGCTATGCTTAAACCTGAACGCCAGAAAAAAACAAAAAACACTTCCACCTAAACCTTCTACTCCCAAAGGGCAGCTGAAATGCAACAAAAAAAAAAAGAAAACACTATTAAAATTACTTCTATGGCCAGAAATGGGTAATGCATCCCATTTTCACCAAGCTCATTGCGAGATACAGCCGCCAGAAAAAGGGTTGTTTAAAAGGCACCTACGTCACAATTTATAGGCAGGGAAAAATGGGGGTAATCAAAACCAGATCCACCCACTACAGGCAGCGTTTCCATAAGTTGCTGCCTTGTAAAAAAAATATTTCTCCTAGAGAGATAGTGATTGCACTGCTTTCAACAAGTCTCCAAAATTGACAACTTGCATTGTGAGAAGAAAAAGCATTACCGAACAGGAAGAAGAGTCTGTAATGCAAAAATTTGCCTACCTGCATATGCAAAGTTACTGATGAACCATACATAGAAACATTTTCATAATGTATTTTGTATAATTTCTCTAGTTTTTCTTTAAGTAGACCCTTGTAAATATATCACAACGAAAACTAACCTAATAAACAATATGGTAGCCAAGGTGTATAAACACAGGTACGTTATATAGTACAAACCCACAATGTAAAGGTGTACACTGAGATGGATCCCTTTTATCAAATTTGCACTAGGAATAGTGCAAAGCCCATTACTACATCTAGTGTTCATTATACAGTGAGTGGCCAGATTATTATGACCACCTGACATTTGTAGGCAAATTAGCTATAATTAGCTATAATTTCACGCTGAAGTTGCTAGAGGTCCAGACCATTATAAATAGGGAAGCAGGTTGTTTACCACGACAGTAGAAGTGATTTTTTTCTGAAGATATGGGTAAACAATGCGATTTAACAGCCTTTGAACGTGGGATGATTGTTGAGCCATGGAGCCCTGGAGCGAGTATCAGCAAAACAGCAGAATCCGTTAATGTTCAAGAGCAGCGGTTGTTAAAGTGTTTAAAGACTGGACTGTCAGACGAAAATTTGGGTCTGAACGTGCGAATTGTGGACTGTCAGCGACTAGTCAATGTTAGGGCAGAACGAAGAGTGGCAAGACTGGTACAAGACAACAGAAGGGCAACAGTGCAGTGTCAGATTCCTCGCATCACATTTCAACATCTCGTGGAGTCACGAGGCGGCCCAACAAAGTCATCTCATGGAGTCATCTCGTAGCCAAACGAAGTACTGATGGGGTGGTCATAATAATCTGGCCACTCAGTGTATGTGTCCTGAAGTCTCCACTAAAATGGCTTGTTAAGAATGGAATCGATCTTAAGAGTTGGCAGGCAACATATGTCATAATGACTGAAATTATAGCAAATCCTATACTGCTACCAGCTTCATTTTTATGGATTATGCAGCAACATACATCTGTCAATTGAACAGTATAACAGTATATGTTCAAACACATGTCTATAAAGTTCATTTTTCTACCCCTCCTATACATGAACAGATGATAACCAACATTGCATTACTTACTAATCAGCATAGTTATTAGGGGGAGGCAGTGTCCATCTGGGCTTCCCCAGTACCCAGACTCTCCAAGCATATTCCTGTCTAGGACTTGGTGATAAAGCTCCTCAATCCAGGCCTGGGAGAACACTATCAACACTCCACTCGACTGTATCTGCTTCATGAACTCTTTCTGTTCCGTAACAGGTAGAAATGACAAGGACATTGATGAGATTATTGCACACATCACAAAACAAAACAAAAAAGTGATATCTTTGCATTTAAAGGAATACTACATCTTGAAAGCAGGCTGAAATGGTCACAAAAGGGGGCAGATTGCCTTCAGAACACTTCCCACCACTTAACACTGAGGGTTACAATCACTAAAGTGAAAATAATCTTTTTGAATTTTTTTATTACATTTAGGACTAAAAGAAATAACATTTTTAAATAATTTTCTCCTTTTTACATACATACATATATGAAGAAATACTGCATATTAACATTTCATGTTAACCTCATGCAGCCAGCAGGTTTTTTTGGTGGCTGACTTATTGTTGCATAGTCTATCTTGTTAGGATAGCAGGATAATAAATTACATACATAACAGCTGAATGACTCATTCACACCAGGTGCGTTTGGCTGCACAGCTCACTGAAAGTCCAATGCAATGGAAAGTTGGAATCTATTGTTTCCAAAAGGCTTAGCTCTCAGAAATGCATTGCGCTTGTGTGTCCTTTGTTAAAAAAATGGAAAATGCCTTTTTTTAATGCAGCGCAATGCATTACAATGCATAGCAGCACTGTGAAACGCATGTTAAGGAAAGGAAAAATAATGGGGGGAATTTATCAAAACTGGAGCAGACAGAATCAGGAGCAGTTGCCCATGGCAACCACTCAGCTTCTCTCTTCAGGTTGCTCAGTTAGGTTTTGAAAATGAAAAATAGAAGCTGATTGGTTGCCATGCACAGCTGCTCCAGATTCAGTCTGCTCCAGTTTTGATAAATTCCCCCAATGTGTTTTGCTTCCTGCTGTATATAAAAAACCTGCACATCATGCAACACGGAAAAACTAATCACAAGTGCATTTAACGTACACGAATCCGAGCTAAATGCAACCACCGTGGTGTGAGTCTAACTTCAGTGAAGGAACCAACTCTTCTGGTAGAAAAAAAACCCATCTGAATTTTAGCGAGACAGTTAAAAAGCATGAAGGCAACACTGATCTTATTAAAAAGCAGAGCATATCCTGCAAACTAAACTAGTCATAGCTGTACCTTGCATGGAACAGAAATCTTTACTTCTACTCTCTTCATGTTTACCGATATAATAGAGATGAGCTGGCACACCCTGGGAGTACTTAACTGCTTCACGGGTAAAAATGGAGGATTGCTGAGCTTTTAATGTACCAGGGTAAATCAAAAAGTAAAGGCAAAATACATTTAACAGCTTTAATAGAAGTGACTGTGAGCACTTGAACATATCACTTTCAACATAATCTCCATGCTGGATGATGCACTGGTTGTATCATTCATCTAGCTTCTGTATTCCTGCAAAGAAGAAGCTTTTCAGCTGCTGCTGAAGCCAGGTGTGCACCGCTTCCTTTACGTCATCATCTGAGGTAAACATACAACTGTGGACTGCCTTCTTCAGCGGACCGAACAAGTGATAATCGCTTGGTGTCAGATCCGGGCTGAAAAGGAGGATGTGGAAGACGTTCGAAAGCAAGCTATTACTGCTGTCTCTATTGTGGCTGTTGTTGTATGAAGATGTGCATTGTTATGGTGCAGCAGGACTGTTTTAGACACCATTCCTCCACTTTTGCTGCAAACTGCAGGTTTAAGCCAACATCCAATGGTGAACACTGGTATCACTCCCTCTTCCCACAGAAAGCACACCATAGCTCACTGCTCTTCTATGGTGCAATCTTGCAACAGAGCATCCAGGCTTCTGTCCACATGACTACTACTCAAATAAAGTCCGAACAATGTATTGCGCATGTTCTAACTATCCATTTAAGTTATGTAAATATGCTGCATTGCGCAAGCTTCTCTCTGTTTCGGTTAACGTGTAATTTATAAATTGCCTTTACTTTTTGATTCTCCCTCGTATATTCCATGTGAGGGAAGAATGAGCAGTTCAATGTTAAAAAATGGCCAGTTTAATAAGGCAGTGTAGTTGTATACAGAATGTAGATATTTTAAATGCCACACTTACTAGTGTCACTGGTGCCAAAGCTGTCTTCTTTCTGTAATAATCACTGCTGGCAAGCTTTAGGTTTAACAGAAGAGCATAGTAAGATGCAACATACAGGCTGTCTGCATTCAACAGCGCCTGGACACTTGCTCCGCCATTATTTTCAAAGCCTGGAGAATGCATCACCCCTATAAAAAAATGTGTAAAAATCAAAAACAGCTGTATATAGGAACATTTTACTGAACAATTCTTTATCACATTACAGTATCCTATCTCTAGTTTCACAGGAGCATCACACTACTAACCTGAGCCTTTATTTGTATACAGGTGCTGCAAGGGGCCATCCTACTACACACTTGGTTTCACAGAGACATTTGGGTTGATTTACATAAGATAGAGGATGATAACTTACCAGAGGGTGTGTTGGTCAATAAAGTGAAGCTATGTTCACTTTGAATATCCAATTATGTGTGAAATTAACAAAAAACTTAAAAAGTAAAAAAAAAAAAGGATTTTTTTCTAGCATGATTAGGTATTCAAAGTGAACAATTCACTAACATTCATATTGCTAGAGCTGCAGCTAACGATTATTTTCAAAATCGATTAGTTAGCCGATTATTAAGTTCGATTAATCGGATAAAAAACAAAATAAAATACATTTTAAAAGGACTGGCAGCGGCGAGCATGAGGTGGGTAGGAGGTGCGGCGCGCAGCTTGTGTGGAGCCGTGAACAGGGCCAACTAATCAGAGGCCGATTAATCGATGATTGAAAAAGTTGAAAACGTTTTCAATCATCGATTATAATCGATTATGTCGATTAGTTGTTGCAGCCCTACATATTGCAAAGTGAACAAACATGTTGCCAAGTAAATATCCACTTTGCTAAGTAAACAGCCTCTACTCCTTTAGTAAAATCAACCCCAGAGGCAAAGGTTCATTTAAAACACTAGAGGCTCAATTCACAAAGAAAAAAATCATTGCAAGGCTGGCCATACACCTATCTATTTTTTTCGATCAATCCGCGCAATGAACGATTAACTAGAAAAATAGACCCGACTCCTCCTTAAACACTAACAGCGTGTCAATCAAGGAATCCCGCTGTTTACATTGCATTCTCCCAGCCAACCACCCTTTTTTTTGTACATGAAACATTATTCTTATAAAGCAATTGGATTATTGTAGTCACCATAAAAATCCTTTGAGTCCATTGAGAAATGTAGGAAGTCTTTAAAAGGAGAACTATGAGGTGAGTGCTTTTCACTCACCTCATAGTTCTAGCCGACCTGTGACAATGAGGCTGTCACAGGTCGGCTCACTAGATCGGGAGGTGAGCGAACACATACTGGCGTTCGCTCCCCTCTCGATCCTGTCACGGCTCTCTGCCGTGACAGGGGAGGGGCTGGATTCCCCCCTCCCCGCTCCAGTCCGCCAGCGCTGACTGGCGGAACGGACAGGGGAGGGTACAGCTGGCTCTGCCTCTAGATAGGCAGAGCCAGCTGTCAGTCACGCAGCTGGGCAGATCCTGGCATAATTGAAGGGATCCGCTTCAGCTGCGGCGTCTCAGTATACCGCGAGCAGCAGCTTGCGGTATACTGCGGCATCTCAGTATACCGCGAGCTGTAGCATAGGTTGTGTCCTCCCGTTACAATAAGGAGAACTATGGGGAAAAGCCTTAACCCCATAGTTCTCCTCTCTGCAGCTCTGCATGCCGGTTTAAAATCAGCTTACATTCATTAGTTAAACAAACTTGTTTTTTTATTTACTTACAAATAGAGTTTATCTACTTCCTGGTCCAGTTTTGGCACAAATTATGTAATGTGCCCAAGAATTGCATCCTGGGAAGGTTACATCAGCAGAGCATTGCTGGGAAATCTTATCTGTAATATCATGAGATCCCAGGGAAAGGCATTTTCTTCCCATGAGATGATGTGCATGGTCAACATGTCCTAGTCACAGGTACCATAGTTTCAGAAAAGTAAAGAGAGATCTAGTAACCTGCCCTTTGTTAACATGGCCACTGTGAGAAGACTGGGGAAGAAAAGGGAAATAAGGTATGCAAAGAATACAAAGCCGGCAATTATCTATAAGTGTCTGTTTGTAGATTGTCATTTCTAAAGGTGTGTTTGTCGTTATTTTAAATATATGGGTTCCTCTTTAACTTTCATGTAATACTGCCATCTATAGGAGGATAGAACCTTGGAAATCAAAAAACTGCAGGCCAATGCGGGATAACCCCTGTCACTACCAGCATGCCTCAGCTTTGTAGCAAAGCAGTTTCCCAGAGCATGTTCATAAGAACAGAGGGGTGGGACCGGTGTCCTTCAAAAGACTCCAAGAAAAGGATTTTACGGTGTGTACAAAAATCTATTTTCTTTCTCTTCTATTGAGGGACACAGTAAGTCTTCAACTGTCAGTACTTCAAAAGCAGCCCAACTAAGGGGTGGTGACACAGCAAACAAAGCATAAACAGGTCCAAGAAAACAAGAGACCTAGGGACTGTCTGCAGCCTACGGAGCAGCCTGAAGGACCTTAGCCTTAAGCTGGCATCAGATGAGGCCACAATGTCCATATTGTAATGTGTGAACAGAAGACCAGGTGGCAACCTTGCAAATCTGGGAAACAGTTGCTTGATGTCAAGAAGCACTCACAGTTTGAGTAGGGTGCACCTCAACATAAAAGGGTGGAACCTGATTATTGAGACAATAGAGATGGTGACATGAGAAGCAGGAACACCCTTACAAGGTTTATCCAGGATGACAAAAAGGTAATTGGTCTTCCTGAAAGAAGCAGTGGCTCAGAGACTTCCACAACCCAAACCACATCCAGACAATGGAGGCAAATTTCCTTTTGGTGAACTGGAGCTGGAAAGAGGGATGAAATAATAATGTCTTGCTTGAGGTGAAAGGCAGATACTACCTTAAGCAAGAATAAAGTCCTGGGACCTTAAAGTTCACTTATCCTTTAACTTTGCACTAAATACATTTTAGGCTCAATTTGCAAAGCGTTAAACACAATGATAAAGATCAGCAATTTTCAAATCCCTGTAGTCTCAAATGAAAATAAACACCCTTATTGTGGTGTGTTAGCTTTATGAATTGAGCACTTTGTCTTTTTTCATGATGTGATATAAAAGTTTTACAGTAGTATACGAACAGAACGCACTATCCAGAGAATTCCAATACTTCAGACTTTATTGAAATTCACAGCAAATCCAGTATTACATTGAATAAAAGTGTATAAAACAGCAAACCCCCAGCCAGCTACAACCTCTCACATGTTTCACCCGTAGGCTTATTCATGGAGGTGCTGGTTTTTGCTGCTTTATACACTTTTATTCACTGTTGTACCGGATTTGCTGTGAATTTCAGTAAAGTCTGAAGTATTGGAATTCTCTGGGTAGTGCGGTCTGTTCGTATAATACTACATTCCAAGGTAGAGACGCACCTATTAGACCAGCACCTGGGGAGTCCTGATGGCGGCTAAGGAATTGGAGTGGTGAGATTTCCTTTGGCTCTACATAAAAGTTTTAAAATTTGTTTCCAACTGTGTGGGGAGGGTGACTGACCCTGTTATACCTGATGCTGCAATTATCTTTTGTTTTCCCTCCACAGGAAAACTAGTGTAAAAAAATTACCTGCGAAAAAAAGAAGTCTGTAAGAAAGTTATAAATTAACCATATTTCTAATTTAAACATACCCCACCTGTACATGCATATTTGTATTTGGAAAGTAACCAAGCTGCCCAAAAGCTGTGCCACTCTATCTACACTGATATTCGTCAAAATCCATCTAATTATCTAATCGTTATCTGTAGGGAACTGGACAAAGAAACAGTATAAACTGTACAGAGACAGGAAGTACTAAAAAGAAAAACCTCCCTCAGCACAATTTACTAGGCCATTGTTTTTCTTACCTCTAGTACTAAAGAAAGGCAAACAAATAACACAATTTGACCCAGAGACGGGTCTTCATTTAGAAATAGTCTTAGTAGTATTTACCAGCTTGTAAACTTGAACAAAATGTTGAGGCAAAATTCTGTAAAGTTGAATCAACTTCTTCCATTCTTTGCAATGTTAACAGCCGTGGAATAAGACCTTCAAGTGACTGTATGAAAAGTCTGGCACTATGCTGTTCAGCCTCCTGATTTTTCAGTAGTTTTAATGACAAGGCAGCAGTCCTTAGAGATCTATGACCAGGGCAGTCTCTGGGAGTCTGGTCCTCATCTGCCAGGGAACAATTATCAGAGCCAATGTCAGAAACATCAGATCTCCCAGAATCCTTTTCTGCAGCCATGGAATACTGATCACAAGAATCAAATTCTGTCCTGGAAAGATCTTGTTCATCAACACTAAAATTACTTTCACTATATCTTGAGCCATAAGATCTTGTTCTACTTTCAACAGACAAAAAATTGGTTATATCTGGATAGACTGTAACGTGACTCCTTTGAACAACATCTGGCTGATCCACAACTTCTAATTCAGTTTCCTTACTGCCATTATCCCTAATAATTGGGGACTGTAAATTATTCCCTTGGCCATCCAAGTTGTCCTCTGGAGTGGTCTGTCCCATATCGCCTTCCAAGGTGGTTTGTCCAGTGTCAGTTGTCACACTAATGCTAATATCAGGACTCTTCTCGGTTCCCAGCTCCCAAGGTGTGTGTTCGGAGGACAGAATACGTCTCTGCCATCTAAAATCTGCCTCATTAATTTCCATAGACTCCCTGCTGGATTCAGCACCATCCCTCATTTCCTCGAGACGTCGGAGAAGATGTTGGACCTGGTCTTCTTTCAGACCTTTTCCTTGGCTTAGCTCATCTAAAGCTCCAAGCAGGGTGCTAACACATGACACAGATGCATAGCATGCTTCAATACCTCCTTTCATACATGCCTCTGCCATTCCATCCATGATTCTACAACACAAAACAGTGACATGGAGTAAATATACATTATATCAAACCGTAGGTTTAGATTTAAAAAACAAAAAAAAACACACTTCAATATATGGAGTTAAACAAAAAAAGAAAAGAGCTAAGCTGAATCATTTCTATCTGGGTTTCTTATGGCAGAACCCCAATCCAAACACATATCAGTAGGCTAAATTGCTTTCACCCAGACTATTGTGTGTGTGTGCAGGTGTGCATGAGTGTGGTATGGCAATGTACCAGACAGAAAACACACATGCTGTATTTTAGGTGCATTAACCTGTTAGTCCATTCAAATTAAATCCCTCAACACATTAAGGCATGTATCTAGAATGTAAACTAAAACTTGTAAACACAATACATATTATTGCATGCATTCTAGTGCAACAAATGACGCAAAATGATCAAATGTGTCCAACACTAAACTAACAACATCCCAGCAGAATGTTTGGCTTAAAATCCACATTAAAATATTGAAGCATCAAGCAAATAACATAAGAAAACTTACAGTTTTAAAAGATCCAGATGCGACTTCCTCTTTGATATTGACCGCTTTCTAGTCTCTGGTTCAGATGTGCATGGCCCGGCAAGGTCAAACAGCCTCTGAGGACTGCTAAGTATCTAGAAGTCAGAAACCAAGCAGATTTATAAACACATTTGTTCTGTGAGGACCAGCATAATGATTTGATGTTAGATGACCAGCAAGGAGCACTTTGTCAGAGAGACTAAAACACTGATAAAGAATACATTTCAGCATGAACAAGGGAGGGGTGTTTTAAGTAAAAATTTCCATGGACTCTCTGCTTGAGAACATTTGAGAAAAGTCAACACTGTAATGTGAGAATGCCATGACACTGATATTTGTTTGAAAAAGCTCTATGCCATTCACTAGGTTTTTCTTTAATACAATAAAAAATAAGATCTGAACATGGCTAAAATCTGCCCTTTTAACCCAAAAATAAATATCTTAGATACCTAGGAAACACCATCAGTTGGGCGACATACTGACATAATGACAAAGCTTGTATCTGATGTCAGATCAAAGGATACAACAACAAATTTCCCATGTGATACGCTGAAAGTTTATGGGCTGTGATAAACGTTTTGTTAATGAATTAAGATTAATGGTCAATCAACTTTTGTCTACCTACAGCTCCAAGGCTCACAATCATCGAGAATCTTTAAAAATAATGAATCATTCTGAATAGTTTCAATATTAGGCCTTGTACAAATTGGAATCAAGCGCGACCTTGCCGTGACGTCTCTAGGAGCTCCCTGTCCCCCTTCTTAAGGGGAGGAGAGCCGCCGCAACTCCTCCCACAAACACGGCCAAGTTACCTTGGCCTATTACTTGTCTGGCTGTCAACTGACTAACCCTCTGGCTTTAATACTTTTAGCCATTAACCCAGAACAGGTATGCAGATAAGGACTTCTAATTTCACTTTTCTGATCTTCACACTTATTCCATATTAGGAATTCCTATTCATATTGCATTGCTTACATTTTTACTTGCTGAAAAATCCTACCTAGCTTTCCTTTTCTATGTGATATGAAGAATAGGGCTGGGGAGTTAATATTTGCGTAATATTTGCCTCTCTGTACTGGGCTGGCAGATCATCTATATCAGTTGTAAACCAGCTGTGCACACTGTATGTCCTAACAAAGGGTTAAAGGTCTTAAGGCTTGGGTGGTGCATTCTATGTTAATGCACTTTTAAATAGGGCTGTTACTGATTAAAATGTTCGTGTTCTATTAATCGAATAATTTTTTCATCGATTAATTTCGATTAATTATAATGCACATACAGATCCAACTACATTGGCCTATACACATACAGCACAGCAATGAAGTAATAAAATGAACTAGGGTCACACTAATCCAGCACGCTATTAATCTCACGTGCCCTACTCAATATGGCTGCCGCTTGAGTGGGGCAACTCAGAATAATAACGTGCTGGATTAGTGTGATCCTAGTTCATTTTATGACTTCATTGCTGTGCTGTGTGTGTATAGGCCAATGCCTTGGCTGGCGCTCATGCAGAAAGTTTCTTGGGCAAACTCACCGGCCCAAGAACGTTCAGGAAGCGACATAGAATATAACATCTGCTGTGCTTGTAAATACCTGAAGATATAACACTGATATACATTGCGACATCTCCAGGTATTTAGGCAAAATCATATTAATGAATTGTGCATTTGCTCCAGACCTGCAGGGCCAATCAGAGAAAATCTAAAGGAAAATCTAAGATGCAGAATGTGGGTAAAGCTATCCAGAAGTGAATATATACACTTAGTCTTACCAGCCCAAGTGGCTCTGTCGGCTAATGAAGGGAAGGGGGGAGGAGTCCGGTGACGTCAGGGACATCGATGTCACCAAACTCCTCCCCCTTCCCTTCGTTAGCCGACGGAGCCACTTGGGGAAGAGGGGTGGAGTCCAGTGACGTCGATATCCGTGACGTATCGGATCTCCGACGGGACACCCGGAAGCCGGCGGAGAGGTGAGTATTTTCATTAGCGATCAAAACATTTTTAATCGATCAAAAAGATTAACGATTAATCGAGAAATTAAGCGTTAATTTCCACAGCCCTACTTTTAAACAAATCTGTCCATAAATCTGTCCCCTTATTTCACACTGCAAGCTGAACGATATACGCTGCCCTATGTATATACCTGCTTCAAATAAAACAACTGAAAAGGTAGGGAATATATAGATATCTTTTTTGACATGCTATGGGAGTGAGAACATTTAATGCATAATTATTAGAAAGGTGGGGG